GCAAAATCACTTTGTGTTGCCTTTTTTAATATTCCGGTCGTTTTTCACGCAAAGCTTGATTCAAATTGATCATTTGTTGTCGGTAGCGTTCAGTATTAACGGTTTCGCCAGGTTTTAGCAGCTCATAATAGATCACACCTTTCTGATCCCACCAAACACAGAGCATTGTCTTCCGTCCATAGCGATTTGGCCTTGCAGTCGATGTCGATGGTTCGCCTGGAGTTACCCATGATCTTTTACGCTTAGGATTCTCAAAATATATCCACTTTTCATCGCCAGTCACAATTCGATGGAGAAATGACTTTCTTTTGTACCTGGCGAGCAGCATTTCGCAAGTGGTTTTTCGATTTTCCTGCTGTCTTTCATTCAATTCATGTGGAACCCATTTTCCCATCTTCTGGATCTTTTCCATGGATTTCAAATGTATGGAGACGATTTCTCGTGTCACATTCAATTGATCCGCGAGTTGTTGTTGAGTTTGAGTGTCATCCTCATCCAACAATGCTTGCAATTCGCTGTCTTCAAACTTTTTCGGTGGTTTTCCACGTTCTTCGTTTCTCACGTTAAAATCGCCACTTTTGAATTTTTTAAACCACTCAAAACACTGTGATTTACCAAGAGCATGCTCAACGTAAGCTTCGACAAGCATTCGATGCGATTCTGCAGCAGTTTTCTTCAAATAGTAACAGAAAATCAATGCTGTCTGCAAATCGTAGTTTCCAAGCACAAAATTCGACATATTCAACGCTATTACAAACTATACTGTTGTATGAAACTTGTATTGTTGTGAGTTGAAAATCTTTGTCAGATGTCAGAACAAGGAAATGGAGTCAATGACGCGGTCTGACGGCAACTACATTGACAGCTATGGCCATCTATTGGTAAATTCCGGTTTCATATTTACATACCTGGTAATTCACTGGGAATTGTTTAGGCAAAAAAGATCTAACTTTGACCGTCATAGGCTTGAATGTTCTTATACTTAGTGTTCAATATTGTTAGTCGGATCACTGAAGATGGCTCGAAAGTAAGCCGAAACGTCTGATTTTTTATATAGTTTTACTTGAATAAAAATCTTATATTTTTTGTACTAATTACCGCAATTTTGAGTCTCAGCGCCCGATTTTATTGTATTGATTTTTTCGAGAGTTCGATTTAAAGGTTATATTTTTCTTTTTTTCGGGTCGCTTTTGAGCCTGCAAGAACTTCCACCAGCTGGCCATCTCGTTCCGCCCGCTCCGCCCACCTGGCCAAAACAGCTTGTCTATTGCTTCAATTGTTGTAATGATTTTTTTATGTTTAATTAAGATCAATTTAAATGTATTCCAAATTTTAGGATTTTATCTTTAATAGTTCCTTTTCTATAATAAATTCCTAAAAATTACCTATTTTTCCTGGCCAACAAAGTAGAGACCCCCCTTAACACATTCTTTCAACAATATATACAATCTACATCTTTTATGGCTTTCTGGAGATTAATATCATTTTTGTTTTTTTATCTCTCAGGATTAAATTTTTTTGAATTAAAATTTAGTAAATTTATTGGGATGAGTGTTGCTTAAGTAAAATTCCAAAGTTGCTCTGTATTTTCTCTACAATAATTAACATAAAGATAATTCATTCTTTATTAAATTTCGTTGGATATTTTAATTTTGTATAAAGTATAATTGTTTTTATATTAAAGTATATTGGTCATTATATTTATTGTATGTATATTTATTGTTAGATTGAAGTATACTGAGGCCCAGTTTCACAATTCACAGTTAACTTTTAACCGAGATTCAATTTTTGATTCCGTAAATTCGAAGATTTATATCAATTTGCAATGTCCCCACAATTTGGTCACTCTAGCATCCCTTTAAAATGTTTAGATTTGCTTTTATAACCAAATATCACTTTAAAAAAAAATCTTACCATTTAACACTTTTATACATAAAATTATAATCGATTTAGACAGGGAATAGAAGTAACTCGTTACTTGTAACTGTACTGGTAACTGCGTTACTTTCTTTTTGGTAACTGTAACGATAACGTAGTTAAATTTTTTTGTAACGGTAACGAATTTTATAGTTACTTTTATCTTTGCACACGTTTGGACACAAGCCACTCATAGCACTTAAGATTAGAAAGTCCTAGGTATCTGTCGGCTGTGATAGTTGTCAATTTAAAAAAAATAACGGAAAAGTAACGAAAAGTTACTTTCTCAAGTAACGATAATTGTAACGAGTCACTTTTAAAAATCAGTAACTAGTAATAGTAATTTGTTACTTTTTCTATTTGGTAACTGGTAGCTGTAACTACCCACATAGCACGTAATATCACAGTAATATCACAGCTATATCATTTTTCCATTGCAATATTACAATAAATCTAGCAAAAATATCGTTGAAATATTACTGAGATGTCACAGTAATATTACAATGTCAGCGAAAATGAATCACAAGAATATTACTGAGATATATTACAGAAATATTACTGTAATATTATGCAATATTTTTGTGATATTTATGTAATGTTTATGTTTATGTAACATTTATTAGGAAAAACGAAAACATTTTAAAGAATTTTAAAAAAAAATTATTGAATTGGTATATTTAATGTTATTTTAAAAATTATTCCATACAATATTAATTAGAAAATAATGCTGATTGTCAAAATACAATAACTGTTACATAATATTATAATAAACTGAAAAAGTTATAATTAACTAAATATCACTTATAAAATTATGTGTGTTTATGTATTATTTTTTTATATTTTAATAACGTCTTAATGATGTTTCTAACGTCAATAAAATATCATAAAAACGTTATTAATTATGTCACTCTACTACGTAAGACGTCATATTGTCACAATATTATTGTGATATTTTAATGTTGGTTATCAATATTTAATACATCAGTAATATTTCAGTGATATTATATTGTAATATGTAATATTTCTGGTACATTGTAATATTACTGCGATATTATGTGATATTATGTGCTGTGTAGGTAGTTACTTTTGAAAAGTAACTTTCCATTTCCTGGATTTAGGTAATTATGAAGGGGACGGGCTTATTCACTGATTTTATTAAAATTATAATTATTTGACGTGTTTTTGTACAAATACACAAATCTGGCAAAACAGTGTTTCTCTGCTCCGTGAATCGAGATATTAAGCGTTAAAGTAGACTGTTCAAGTTAGGAAATCTGTCAAATCGATGGCATAGAGGGACATAAGAACATGTCAGTGAAGCTAAAATAAGTATTTTCTGCTTCAATCACACAAATTTTCTGCTTTAAGAGGATGCTGGAGTGTCCTTTTTTACCATTAATTTTTAAAAACTCTTTTCTCTTAACAGTGTTTATGGATTAAAAAGTCCTTCTCCACAATTAAAGTATCGACAACAGCACAGGCTGCCAGCTACAATTTAATACGAAAAATGAAAGAAAATTAAAAATTGTAGTTTTGTCACCGACTTCTGCAGCCACAATATGTGCTGCATATAAGAGTTTCAGATTTTACCCGTTTAAAATAAGTAGCCAACAGCCTACAGAAAACCTCGAAGAACAATCCTATGTTTTTAGAAACGAGGTAGGAGCTTTAGTATAAGAGAAAAAAGTCGCCGAAAATTTCATTTGTACATTACGAGTGAAATTGACGGGAAGCCATGAAACCAAGCAGTATTTTAGTTGATCTCTTTCTAAGAGATGGCGTTGCAATATGTTAGATAAGGATAGATGATTGCGTTTGAGCGAGACACAACGGTATATAATAAGTATAAGAAATGAATGAAAGATGTCACTATTATTGAATTTGGAATTTAAAGAAGTCTGTACTATCGACCTTGATTAAGTTCGATCGTTACTCCAGCATCCCCTTAAAAACAAATTTTTTATTATAAAACCAAAATTGTTTAAAAAATATTTTTAAAGCAAAAAATTTGCATTTTTAAAATAGAGAATTTATGTTTTTGAAACAGAAAATTTATTTTTAAAGTAAAGCATTTGTGTTTATAAAACAGAATTTGTGTAACCCTCTATACCACCAATGTAACAAATTTTCTAACATGAATAGTTGTCAATTTTAACGCTTAATATTTTAGTTCGCGGGGCAGAGCGATACTTTTTTTCTGCCAGATTTGTTCATTTCGTACAAAAATGCGTTAAATGAGCTTAATTTTGTCAAAATCGATGAATAAGCCCATCTCCTTCATAATTACCTCGTCAAAAGACATATATGATTTAAATTTAAAAAATCAAATTGGCTATAATCAAAATCATAATTAAAAATCAAAGTCAATTTGATTTTTTTTAAATTAAATCATATATAACAAAGATGAGAAAGACGTGCGCCCAAAAAGTTGGAAGGTCAGGCTTTAAATCCTGGCTAAGATAATATTTTTCAACATAAATATGAATCTTCATATAATATTTTTCATAACAAGTTATATTTACAGATCTTTAAATAGATGCTGATTAGCATCAATAATATTAAATTGCTTATCAATTTAACTCGTAATATCACGTACGCCGGATTCAGTTTAGAACTATTTCAAGACTAATGAATATTCGGCGCGCAGTTTGTTTGAACTGGAAATTGTAAGATTTACGCAAAAATATTGGTAAGCACCAAGATTTCCACTTTCATCGTACATGGCGTTTCTCATTTTAGTTATGTTCGAATATTTCACAATCGAATTTCATACTAATGTTTAAATTATATATTTCATTTATAAACTTACTTTTACAACATATTCGCAGTTATCATAAGAAAAATAATCATATACAGGACTTTATGGATTGAATGGTTGATATTCTTTCCATATTTTATTATTATGCAAACGAATATCAATATTATCGTTAACATTTAAGAACGTAATATAAATATGGGGTTACGATTTCATTGATTGTGAAATGAGCTTTACCTACTCATATGTCAAAGCTATATACATTTACAATCTTTTATAAATTATACTTGTATAAAAGTTCCTAAGTATAAAATAATAGTAATACTGGTATATATCAGTATTACCAAAAAATTATATATATTTAGAAAAAACATATAACTTACAGTATAGGCAATAGGAGTCAATGCTGGTTATCAATTAGCGCAATTCTTCTTAATATTAAAAATATAAATCTTGTACTGTATGTTATATGTTTTTCCTAAATTGTTTTAATTTAAGGAGTCTATAAAAACTTATTAGTTTTTTGTTAATTCATAATTTCTAATTATATTTATATACGCTTGTATTATAAAAATTTCAGTTGAATACCAGTATTTGATACAAGTATTTGATCTCGATTTTTTATATACTGCCATTCAGGGAATGGAAAGTTACTTTTTAAAAGCAACAAGTTACAGTTACTCGTTACCGAATAGGAAAAGTAACAAGTTACCGTTACTAATTACCGATTTTTAAAAGTTACTCGTTACAATTACCGTTACTTAAGAAAGTAACTTTTCGTTACTTTTCCGTTACTTTTTTTTTAAATCGACGACCAATCGTATAATAACAATTATACTACAACAATTATTATTAGTTTTAAATTATATATAATTATATTTTATTATTTATTTTTATTAAATGCCATTCCAATTTTAAATTGCTCTTGTAGTTTTTCTTACTCTATCTAGCAGCGCCAAGTGTTTTTACATGAAAAACTTTTCTGATTAAATTAAATTTTTTCATTTTATACGGTTAATTCTTTAATTTTTTGTGGTAACACTTAAATTGAGCAAGGTAACGCAATTTTGTGATAATGTTTTGTATAATGTTTCGAAGGAGAGTTAAATAACCACTTTAGTTGGAAGAGGAAATGTCTTTGAATGAATTGTGATATAATAATTTTATTTAAGAGGAATTTAAACCATTTGGATTGGAATAGGAAAATTCTTCAATAAATATACGTATACTTAGGTTTTATTGCATAAAAATTAAAGATAGTACCATTTGGATTAAGTAAATAATAAAGATAGTATCACTTGAGTTTTACTTTTCATTTTGATAGTAGAATTTAACTTGGCGCCACAGTTGTTGATATCAAATCATTCGTACAAATAATACATACCATTAGATTAATATTCATTGTTTATTTAATTTGGCACGGTATAAAGAAGTGGGATTTAACTTGGCGCCAGTTCTTGATATCAAATCTTTTATAAGAATGATACATATCATTAGTTAATATTATTTATTTAATTTGGTATTCGAATTACATTGAATTTAATTTGGCGCCAATTGTTGATATCAAATCTTTTTTACGAATAATACATAAAATTTTGATAAAATTTCGATGAATTTAGCTTGGCGCCAATTTTGTTGATATCGAATCTTTTATACGAATGATACATATCATTAGAGTTAAATAAATTAAGAAAAAAATTAAAGTTACTATTATTTTTTCTTTAGGAGGAATAAAATGGTAAAATTTAACTTGACGCCAGTTGTTGATATCAAATCTTTTATACGAATGATACATATCATTAGTTCTACTAAACAGCAAGCGTGATTAGTCATCAGTTCCACGGCCGATTACCATAAGTAATGACGTTGGTGAAACCGGCCCAAATGGTAGTTTCCACACGAGCAGCACGCACGCTTAGCGCTTTTTTTACCTTTTTTTAAAAAGATAAATTTGTATACGATTGAAGTTACTATTACTCAATTAAAAAATCCCACCACCACCCCCATCGTCTTATAGTTGTAAACATCCATACATTTGTAAATTTCCAATATGCAAATAAAAAGAATTTCTTGGTTTGGAACTAAGCAGATTGTGGAAGTACAATTACGATGTGTATGTGTAGCTACAGGAACGACAATATGACAATACATTTCGCACTATATACACTACTCAACAAAA